GTTCCCCGGCAAGAACAAGTCTGTTGACTTAGAAGCCAGGCACGGAAACAACTGGGAGCTGATTTTACTTTCTGTGGGGGGGGTTCCCCTCCTGGGATGACGGCAATGAATGTCACACTCGCATCAGCACAGCAGGAACGGAGGGGATGCACTCATACCCTGTGGGCAACCTACCAGTCGCTGCTGTTTCCACCACGCAAACCAGAAGTGAAACCAGCCCAGCGCAGGCAAAGGGAGTTTCGCCGCCCATTCCAAGCCGGGCAGAATTTCGGTTTTGCAAACCGCCCTCCTCCGCAGGGTCCCAGCTGGAGAGGGGAAGCCGGGGGAGAGCCACCAGAGGCCGGAGCTCCTTGCAGATTTGGCACTCTGCATCCTCGTTTTGCTAGGGCTGAAGTTAACCTGCAGGACTGGGCTAAGAGATGCAAGACACAATCCCAGCGGGAGGTCCCGCACGGGTCCCGCTCCCCGGGGAACCAAGCGCCGAGCCGAGCGAGCAGCCGCGGGCCGTGCCTGCGAAGCCTCGCGCAGCGCAGACGGACCTCGCCGCGAAAACAGCGGATGAGATAAAGTGATCTGCGTTAGCAGGCATTGAGTGTGAAGCGAAGGGTGGGCCGGCTGGAAGAGCAGCTACAAAACAGCCTTTCAGTGCCCTTCCTCGAGCCTTTTATTCCCCGGATTCGTTTCCCGCTGCCGAGGGAGCTCTGCGTTCCCGGCCACGCCGCCTCCGAGGCTTCGCCCTCTTCGGGCCCTTCGTTTGCAAAGACCCACAATTAAAGAGCAGAAAGTTGCAAGGGGCTGTCGAAAAAACTGCTTTATTGGCGTTTTCAAAGACAAGCTCCTTGGTTCAATTTGCAAAGCTGCTACTTGCAGCCCAGATCCCTGCGCAGACTGCGACGAGCTGCTGCGCTGCCCTTTCCCGCCCGCGCTCGCTCCTTCCTGTGTCCAAACGGGAGCTACAAGGTTTTTTTCTTCCAATCTGTACAAACATCAATGGCTCAAAGCTCTCATACCCAGGAAAACTGCAACAGGAGTAATAATTTTTTTTTTTTAAATAGCATTTTCATCTCTTGACGCTGCCTTTCCCAGTTTTTACATGAACATAGCCCTCGCAGTCCCTGGGATTTCCAAGGGCTGCAAATGCAATTAGCTCTGTGTTTTTTAAGTGGGTTGTGCTCCTTATTGCTTGGTTTTCCTACCAACTTCCAATCCTGCAGCTTGTTGTCCCCCCAGGATTTGCAGAGACCATTGCTTGCTCCTCTTACAATGGCACAAGCCCCGCTCTGCGATGGTAGCCATCCTGCAGGCTCTCCAAATAGCTACGGGCATAAAAATAGTACAGTTCCTTTTATCTTTCCCCTTTGTTCACCAGTAAGTATTCGAGCAGATGCAGCTGGGGCACACATGGAGTAATCCATCATCCAGAGGCTTTGCAACGGATTCAGCACTTTGGTCTAATCCTGAAGGGTCTGGAGCACCTTCCTGCTAATGCTCAATGAGGGCCTTCAGCAACTCTTGAAGAGGCTGAGCTGCTTGAACGGTCAGATGTTTGGGACGTGCTCAACCTTGCAGATCAAACCACTGGTCAAAGCAAGCAAGCGCCCTGCTGGGCAACTGAGCCCAGCTTCCCGCTGGCACAGGCGCGACCAGGCTATGCGGGCCAAGCTGTTGGACTGGATTTGGCCACACGGCAGCCTTCCTCCCCTTCGCCTGCCTTGTCGGCCCGTGCGCCAAGCCTGCGGGTGACCTCCCGCCACCTCCGCGCGGTATTACCGGGGCTACCGAGCCGCCGCAGTCATCGGCGCGAGGCAGCAAAGGCGGCAGCAGAAAAAAATACTGATCGTGCTTGTGGGCCTGCAGAAAGCTGCTGCTATAAATAACCGATGGGCTGAAGGCTGGCTATGTATAGAGCACGGTGAGTCATCTCGCAGGGTGCTGCAGCTAAACGCAGAGAGCGGGCAGCCAAAAGCCTTTTCTTTCATCAGCTGGCTTTAAAGCAAGGATCTGTTTGGGAACAAGCAGCGCAGCAGCTTTCCATGCGACTTGGGGGAGCACGTCTGATGCTCTGCATCGCTTCAGAGCAACTTCTCCCCCAAAACGGAGTGATTATAATTACAATTACATGCAGCCTGCAGTTCCCGAAGGCGCCCTCACATCATTTGACCACGCTGGGCTCTCCATGGCTTTGATAACGATTTGGGACTAATTGACTTGGTTCGCTGCCCGCAGATGGCAAGACCGCCCAAGGGGGCCGCAGGGCCATGCAGAGGCGGCCACCCGGCCGGGCAGCCCTGGCCGCGTTGTCCGGCTCCCGGCCGCCTGACATCCCCGTCGTTCCCAGCCTGGCTGTTACACTCCTCTGTGGCCCTGAGGGACATCGCACAAAGATACAGCTAGAGTTTTAAAGAGGAGCAGCGTAGAAATATATCTGTATTGGCTTATTTTTCTGCTAGCTCTGGCTTGCCTACCACGTCCCGCAGACTGTAATACTGACTGCGGTATGAAAAGACCAACAGGAGGAATACACTCACTGGTCATTATAAAACAACAAAATATCGAAGCCTCCCTTTAGCCTTTTATGTCTATATGTAAGTGTACAGAAAGGGCGTTTACTATCAGCCCCTACCAGAGGGGTTCTGCGTGCAATGACTCAGGCAAAGTGTTTCTCTAATTTTCACGCACCATCAGAGTCCAAGAAGTATTTCTCTGCTTATTCCCCCTTGGGAAACACTGCTTCCTCAGACAGCCTTGGGGGATGTATTAAGGACCTGCGTTTTATTTTTTTAATAAGAAAATGCACCGTATTTCTGATCAATAGAGGTGAAGTATTAGGAAAACCATAAGGAAAGGATGTTCCTAAGCCTTCTTCAGCTATGGAAAGAGCCAGAGCTGCAGAAGCATCGGAAACCTCGGGCAAAGGAAATTACGCGCATCCCACAGAAGTTAGCCCACCGGGCTCTGCAGGCTGGCGCTGCCCCGAGCGAGACGGATGCAGGCGGCGGGGAGGGCAAGCACGCAGCCCCTTCCACCTCCGCTCGCGCCATGCCTTGGAGAAGCACCCGGAGGAGACGAAGCAGTCTACGTAGGCAGGCGCAAACCAAGGCCGCCATGTATTTTTAAAATGTTTCCACCGATGCGAGGAAATGAAAAGGCCTTCAGTGATGCCAATTGTGTTATTCCAACTTGTGGCTAGTAAAATGTAATAACACATGTAAGTTGTTTTTACTGCCTATCCAGCTTATTAGCTAATAAAACAAGCTTAGCGTATTAAACGTTACTGGCATGGTTTATCAAAAGACGACTGCAGTGCCCTGAATTTTTCCCCTGCAATCACCCAAATATGTAGTTTTCTGACCCTTTTTATCTTTTAAGCTCCTCTGGAGGAAGAAAAACTAATCGCTTCCTCCAACACAAATGAACTCATTCAAACACCCATTGAGCTGCCAAGCATAAAATGTCATAAAATAGCACATTCTTGTAAGAAGGAAAAACTGAATTTATAGCCTCAGATGTCATCGCATTCAGGAAAGGCAAGAAGAGAAAATCCAAGGCTCTGTTCTTCAACCTCACCTGATTAAGTGTTGTCAGTAGTTTTATTACGAACAACAAAACTGAGCTTACTGGAACACCTTTCATCTGGCGAACCCCGGCAGACTTTGCCAGCGCAATAAGTGGCCGTACAAAGTACATAAAGCAAATCACTTCAAACGCCCCCGAAACCGTCACCCCGGGAAGAAACGCAGCAGCTGCTCCGCAGCAACACCGCGCCACAGAAAGTGAAGACGACGGCTGTACAGAAATGAAACTTCGGGGAAATTTTTTGGCAGGCGGAACATAATAACCCAACCTGGATTTAGGCCAGGAGAGCAAGGTTAATACCCTGCTCTTGCAACTGGAGCCATGGGATCTTTAGACCCAAATTTATCTCTGTACCACACAAAGCTGCTGTTGTCATTGCGTTTATGATTGTAAATTGTTGACGTGAGAAATGTTGAATCATAAAACTGGCTATAGAAAAATTTTATGAGTGCAGAATGAAAATGCTTCTTGCACTGTCCTTTGATGCAGCCTTTCATTCTGGCTCTCGCTCACACGTTTTTGAAGTCCAATAATCTGGTCTTGCAGGAAGAGGACTGCAGAGCAAAATCCTCTCAGATTCTCACTTCAGATCTGTTATCTGGATTTGCGCTGCAGATTGAAGAGGGAGGGTTTGCTCTATGTTTGCAACTGAAAATGAAACATGATAACATCTCCAGAGTGGAAAATTACAGAGGCTAAGAGTAAGAAAAGCCCAAAGTAGTAAGAAGTGAGCTGCTGACAGAGTGAACGTTAGATACCTGGGGCTGCTGTCTTCGGCTTGGCAAGGCAGGCTCAGGGTTCCTCTCTCCTGAACTCCAAACGTGGCCTTTAAAATATTTCTGCTCGAAATACATACCAGGAGGAAACAATGGCATGGTGGACTCGGTGTGCAAAAATTAGTGCGGAAAAGAAACAAAGGAATTTAATAAAGACTCTAATTGCAAACCCATTTGGAGGGGAATTGATTTTCTGCTCCAGTAAAAGGAGTGTCTTTCCCCATAACAACTGTTTCACTTTGCATAAAATAGATGCCCCTCAGACCTCTGATGAAGGATTTTAGCCTAAATGGAAACAAAGCTGAGACTTCTGCTTTCTGAATAACAGTACTTCGTGAGCGTTGTCTGTTCAGAGGGCTACGTTTTGCCTACCTGTAAAGACGTGTTGGGTAAACATCTGAGGTGCCCCTATTTGCACGAGTGACACCCTTAGCTCTTACCTGGGTCATCTTGGCGAGGTCCAGTGAAGGCCTTTGCTCCTGAACCTCCTCAGGCCTTCGCCGCTTGACTCCAACCTTTTTGTCATTAAGGACACACGGCTGAGATCGGCTCCGGGAGAGCCCGTGGGAGCGTCTCATCAGCTCTGGCGTTGAGGCAGGTGTGCTGTTGGCTGAGGGCGGACAGTACTCTGAGGAGGAGAAGGGATCATGGGAGCAGGAGAGGGACCGCTGCATGTCGACTCTGCCACCCTCTCCCAAGCCATGATCGTGACCCCAGATGTCGCCTCCATGTCCATAGGTAGCCGACTTCCTCATCCCTTGGCTTGGCTGACACCCCAATCTGCTACTAAATCCAGAATGGTCGTAGGACGAGGACAGTGTGTTTGACCTTGAAGGTAGGCTAAAACTTGAACTCCTCTGCATGGTGGTAAAGCCATTAGAGTAGCGCTGTACGCTTCCTCCACTGTAACACCGCCGTTTTTCTACCGGAGTCCAAACCTTTGACCCTAGAGGTCTCCATGACGTCCTGCAGCTAGACATTTCATCTGAAAAAGAGAGTGACCTACACTGGCGCTTGCTGGGGGGTGCTGATGGGTTGCCGTTGTGGTCGCTGAGACTGAGGTCCTTGATCAAGTTGGTCACTGAGCACGTGTTCACTGCCTCCCTTTGCCAGATAGAGCCTTCCTCGCTTTTATCGGACAGGCAGTCCCAGATGTTGGTGCTCGGCTGCTCAATCTGAAGTGGAGACTTCCTGCTGAGATCTCTCAATCTGTCATTTTCTAGTTTAGAAATGATAAAAACACACATGTACACACATTAGCATTAATTAATTCTATGATTCGTTTTCTATGTCCATAAACAAAGACTAGCATATGGGACATTTTCCAGCACAAATTAATTAAGTCTTGGAATATGGTTTTCCAAACTGCCAGCCAAATGGTTGCTGTAGCATAGATGGAGAGAGAGACAAAATGATAATCTCAGCAGAAGCAGGACTGCTAGAAGCAGATAAAAATATGCCTTTGAATATCCAAATCGTACTAGCTAAGGGGAATTTAGCAGTATAAAATGACACGGTCATCATTGCTTTATCTCTGATAAATCATGCCTCAGATGCCTCTGTTCAGTCCTGGCCTCCACAGTCAACGACTGCCTGAGAGGTTTACCAAAACCCTGTAATTGTAGCACAAGCAAGACGGATCCTGGGGTACTTATTCCCAAATACAGAGGCTGCACTGCCTCTGTGCCTCTTGCTGGGGAGCATTCGGCAGCGAGGGAAAGGGAGCAAACGCCAGAGAGAAGGTCCGAGAGAGCCGTGGGGACGGTCCCAGCAGAAAGGGGAGCACACCCCAGGCACTGAATGACCTGTTGTAGCGCGGAAGTGCAAACGAGGTCATCAGAGCCTACAGGAACCAAAGGCCGTCCTTGCACCCATCGCGCTGCCCTGCTCTCTGCAGCGCTAAAGGCCAAAACAACATGGCACCACTGAAGTCGGTAAAACTTTCTCTCTGCTAAGTTTATCCCAAGGACTCTGTCTATTCAAAGCTAGTGCATATAATAAGCGCTAAGATAGCAATAAACCTCTAGCAGTTTAAGAAGGGATATTATTAGACTACCCAATAAATGTGTTTCTTCTGCCTGTAACCTGATTTAACCGCAGAAAGTGGAACTGGGATGGATTCGGAGAAGTCATCTAGAGCACACGTTCCAAGGGGCAGAGCCAGCTGCGGTAACCAACACGGCGTGATAAAAACAGTGAGCGTAAAGGACCTCACGTGAAGCACCTAAATCTCCAATTTCCACAACAAAAGCCAGGGCGAGCCTTTGCACGGTTTTGAGGGGCGCCATACAGGTATTAACTTCATCATAAGGGTTTTGCAGTGCCGGGGTTTTGACAAACGTGCGCCTCCCACGCCCATGGTTCGCGACCGTGTCCGAAACATCTACGGCTACGGGCAGCGAGCTGCTGGCAGCCCGCACACCAGGCTACAGCCGTACTCCGAAATCTCACTGCTGACCGCGTAAAAGGAGAGGATTGAGCATGATGATCTCATTCTTGCAGATGGCCCCACTGACCATAAAAGAAAAAAGCAGAGTATCATCAAGGCCTGGCCGCTTGCCATAGGCGGCGAAGGCTAACAGGGCTCTGTACAAACATGCCGGTAGCACTCGACAGGAAAACCATGGCAGGACTGCACCATGCACCGCTGCGGTGGAGAAAAGTCATCACCTAACGGAGCTGCCCCGTCAATAGCATTTGTAGCCTGCTGCCGCAAAGGGAGGTGAAACGTATTAGCTCTCCGTTGCTGCAAAGTTTCCTGTGATTGTATCTAAATAGTGCAATATTTTTTAGGGTTTTCTTTTCTTTACTCAGGCAGTTGAATGAAGTATTAAGAGAAGTAGTCATCCTACAGCTGTAGGCACTAGCAAAATAGGAAAGAAGCAGTCGTACAGAAGACTTCCCACCGCCGAACACTCGGTTCAAGTCAGAAGGTCAAATCTGGGGCCTCCGTAAGCTGATGCCCCTTCAACTACTCCTGGCCAGTTTTACCGTTTCTCTCTGTAAACGGCTACCACCGCCACAGCTACGTCCGCAAACAGAGCCTGGCCCTGCCGTTATTAATTGCATTCTATTTTAACTATTGCTGTCCTCGTTTTAACGGACACAATGAAAAGTGAGAAATCCATGCTAAACAATCACATCTATGTTTAGATCTTTATTATTTCCCCCCCCTTGTTATGCTGCCAGCAGAGAGATTTCTTGGGTCAGGTCACCAGACAAAAGAACCAGAAATAGAAGCTAATTTTTTATGGCAAGCTGCCACGACCCTTGGGCCCTCGACGTCACGTTTTACAAAAGGCCTTGGTGAGCTTGTACGAGAGGATACAGGATACCTTCCTCTTTCGACATTACTTCTGCACAAACAGCTATAAATCTTTGAAAAATTAGAAAGAAAATCTTGAGCGCACCATTACCTTCGGCGACAACTTTGGGCTATTTGCTTTTTCCTTTGTGTTTAGCGCGTGCCCTGGGAAGCGGCTTGTTTAGCAGGACGGAGGTACATGCTCACGCAGAGGCGGTACCCGCCACCCCGGCCCTCGATGCGAAAAAGGCAGTCACCCTGAACCTACGGGAATAGTAGATTGAAAAAGGGGATATCGTAGGGGTTGAGGGTGTAATTAAGTGACTCGGGAAAGGCTTACGAGGAAAAATGAGTGGCTTTCTGTTCAATTTTTTAAGGCTAAGATTCACATCCTGAGAACGCTGATAACAATAATTGCAGTGGGGCCATTAATATTGCCTTAGTTAAGCATGTATTAATTTTCTTAAATTACAGCCCTCAGTTTGGTTTACCCAGAGGCAGTAATTTGTTCCAGGATACAACTCGCCCTGAGAACGCCTCGGTTCAAAAGCAAACCGCTTCGCAGGAGACACTGGCTTGCCCAGCTGGGAACGACGGAAGAACATCCACAATAAAAGTACTATAAAAACGCTGAGCGTGGGGCTCTTCTCCCTGGTTAAAGAGGTTCTTCTTGGTTGTTCTTGGTTCTTCTTGGTTGTTCGAGTCCTCAAAGGAAATAGTGTAAAGCCTCCCGCTTTCGGAGGAGTCTCTCTCAGCGCTGGACTCAAGCCCTGGTCCCGCGGCACTGGGGCTTCCTCCGGAGGAGCTGGGCGTCTGGCTCCCCTCCGTGGCTCCCGCTCGCCGCCGGGTCACATGCAGCACTCCTTTGCACGGCTGCAACTCCAGCCCATCGCCATGGGATCTGGGGTCAATGTCTGAAGGCTGAGTCTGCACCAGCGGAAGCTACATCCTAAAACCGAAGAGGCGAGGCGGGCATCATCCTCGAAGCGCCGTTAAGAGCTGGAGATCTTTGCACAGCGAGTCGCCTCCGCACTTGGGAGCTTCACCCATCCATTTCCAAATTCTGAGATCCAAATTCTGCACAAGCAACACACAGATACTGCAGGTCCCTCTCATGCACCAGGAGCCCGCCCGCGTTCAAGGTTGTGCATAATCACCAGTCACTGACGGCCTGTGAAATTTCACCCGAGGGACGAAAAACAGAACTAACTAACCTGACTGGGGGTCACCGTACCCCAAAGAAAATCTCAAGTCCAGGAGGACATTTGCAGATCTCCGCAGCTCCAGGACGGGCACAGGCTTTGCAAGTTACTGCAACAGGGATGCGCTCCCCTGATGACAGAGTAAGCTTGGACAACCACGTTCATAACCACAGAAAAGAAGGGTGTAAAATCAAAATGCTGACACAACTTTAGCTATAACGACACAAATGTGCTGCTATAATATTTTTACAGTTCCTTTTTATACATAATGCATGATCCTTCTGCTCAAGTTTCCCCTACGTTCTTCTCCTGTGAAATAATTTACATTCATACATAATTTATTACAGCGACTTGTAAAGTAATTACGGGTTTCAATCAATTTTTTCCTCCTTTTTGGCAAATAAATTCTGTTTGGATCCAAACCCAAACATTTCTTTTCATGCATGTGTACATCTAACTCCCTTTTTCACATGTTGTTCAACTTGAATTTTTGTCTGCTGATCTCTGTGCACCGGGGAAAAGGCAGTCTGCGTTTTCCACTGTCCCCTGTTTATGTTCAAGAGATGATTTCTAAATGTGGAACAAATTTAATGGCTGTAATTAGCTGATGGCAGGGACATAGAGCCTTACAGCTCTCCTGCTTTCCTATTTCACAAATAAGATTAAAAGATGATGCATGTGGCTATGCTTCAATGGGAAACGAAAACAACAGCCCCCAAATCTGCACCACTTGAGAACAAACGCAACACCAGGGCTTGTGGTCTGTGTGCTCTCTGCACCCATAGTCTTTATTTAGGAGGGAAATTCCCCACCTTTATGGGAAAACGTGCGCGGGTCTTCCTCTAACAAGGTCTCCCAGTTTCAGTGGAGCTAAGAGCCGTCTCGTTTTTCTGCGCGGCGTTTTCTCTTCGTGGGTTGACAGACCGTGCTTAAACATGCAGAAAGGCACTGCCCACACTGATGGCCTCTCCAAAAAATGACCTTTAAGGAAAACTGATTGATGACATTACAAACTTCTTGTATGCAATGTATATGGGTGGGTGGGGGGGGGGGGGAAATGCATCACCCCAAGCAGGCTAACGGCACCGTTTAAGAACTGGCTGGGG